TGTGTGCTCGGCCTACCTGCCCGGAGAGAAAGCCAACCCCACCGAAGAACTGTCTAAAGTCGTCGACTACGCTTGAAAACACAAGACAGAACTAATTGTTGGCTGCGATGCAAACGCCCATCACACAATCTGGGGAAGTACTGATACCAACAAAAGAGGAGTTACTTTTAGAATTTCTCCTAGCTAACGACCTTCAAATACTTAATAAAGGCTGTAATCCAACCTTCGCTACTAGAGCTAGGCAGGAAGTTCTGGATATCACTTTTGCTACTGAACAAATCGCTAAACACATAAGTAAATGGCATGTCAGTAATGAAAACTCTTTGTCCGATCACAAACATATTGTCTTTAGCATACAAGGCTCAATAACTACTGAGCCTAAAAGGCTTAGAAATCCCAAAGCCACCTCGTGGGTAGATTTTAAAAACCTGCTCGCTGAGGCAGCTAAGGATTTTCCAAAATCAATCAAGACACCCGACTCCCTTAACATTTTAAACAACTTATTAACGGATGGCATCTTAAATGCCTATGAAAATAGCTGTCCTGTCAGGGAACTTAAGGTTAACAACAATACTCCGTGGTGGAACAAAAAGCTAGAACGACTTAGAGTTTCCACACGTCGCTTATTTAATCAGGCCACTACACCGACCGGGAACGGTATAAGAAGGCTCTGACTAAATACCACAAAGAGATCAGAAAAGCTAAAAGAGCATCTTGGAAACGATTCTGTGAGAATATCGCCCAAACACATAAAGGAGCGAGAATCCACAAGGTCCTTGCCAAGACACCAAACATCTTTCTCGGCTTTTTAAAAAAGCGAGACAATTCCTTCACGACCACAGAGATGGAGACGCTGGAACTTTTAAGAGCAACCCATTTCCCAGGATCGTACCCTGTCACCGGCAGTGAATCAAACCCAAAGGAAAACTACATCCACAGGGCAAATAGTTGCGACTGGAAGATGGCCAATACCATTTTTAGGCCTAACCAGATTAGATGGGCTTTGAAAAAATTCAAACCATTTAAATCAGCAGGGGAAGACGGAATTTTTCCAGCTCTGCTTCAACAGGGCATGGAACTCCTTATCCCGCATCTGGTAAAATTATTTAGAGCAAGCTTTGCTTTGGGCATTATACCAGAACAATGGACTAAGGTCAAGGTTATCTTTATACCGAAGATCGGTAAAAACGACTACTCTCAGCCCAAATCCTTTAGACCTATTAGTCTTACTTCTTTCCTATTAAAAACAATGGAAAAAGTAATCGATCAGCACATTAGAACAAGGTATCTTGTGGCTAGACCACTTTCCTGCAACCAACATGCTTACCAAAAGGGTAAATCCACAGAATCTGCCTTAGTAGCTCTGATCGACAAGGCAGAAAGGTCCCTAGAGGATAAGCAGACAGCTCTATGTGCATTTTTGGACATTGAGGGGGCCTTTGATAACACACCTACGGCAACCATCCTGAAAGGATTAAATGCAAAAGGTGTTGATATCACAACCACCAGATGGGTGGAATATATGCTCTCCAACCGGTGTGCGAAAGTTACGTTAAACGAACACTCGCACAACTTCTACACTACAAGAGGCTGTCCGCAAGGAGGAGTGCTTTCACCCCTATTATGGACACTAGCTGTAGACCTACTACTTGTAATCATGGCAGATCTCGACTACGATACACAGGGCTATGCAGATGACCTTGTTGTAGTAGTAAGAGGTCCCTGCCTGAACACAATTTCCACCAGGTTACAAGGAGCTCTCAATACCATCACAAGATGGTGCAAAGAAAATGAGTTATCAATAAACGCTGATAAAACAGTTATTGTACCATTTACCAGGAAAAGGAAGCTTGAAAGGCTGACCGAACTCAGACTCAATGGCAAAACCCTTAACCTATCAAATGAGGTAAAGTACCTTGGAGTCACTATTGATCAAAAGTTGACCTGGAACTCTCACCTCAACGGAAAAAGAATTTTTTTTTATACAAAAAGCCAAAATGGCCCTCTGGATATGTTGTCGAATGGCTGGAGCCAAGTGGGGCCTCAAGCCCAAAATGGCTCTCTGGATGTACATCGCCGTGGTAAGGCCGATCATAACATACGCCTCAGTCGTGTGGTGTAACAAAACCAAACAAAAGACAACTATGAGTAAACTGGACAGCATACAACGGATGGCATGTCTAATCATCACGGGAGCCTTCCACTCGGCACCAGGCGACGCTTTAAATGCATTGTTGGACATAGCTCCGCTATATCTCCACGTGCAAAAAGAAGCTAAATCTTGCCTCTACAGGCTCTGTACACAATCGAATGTAAAGTTGCAATCGCAATATATGAACAAACTCAAGGAGTTGACATTCGAACACAAAACTCTGAAAATGCCAGTCGATGGCATGAGTACAGAGTTTAACTTCGCAAAACAGTACCAAATAGATCTTCCCAACCGGGACATGTGGCTAAAAAACCAAGAGTCTCACAAAAAGGGCAGTCATGTTTGGTTTACAGATGGATCCAAGAAAGGATCTGATGTAGGGTGCGGCATCTATGGCCTTAAGCCTAGATTTGACATGAGTGTCAATCTGGGCAAGGAGGCCACCATCTTCCAAGCCGAGGTCTTCGCCATCAACAAATGTGCTGAAGTCATCCTGGAGAGGAAGCTTAGAAACCAAAATATCTACATCAACTCAGATAGCCAAGCAGCACTTCTGGCTATAGATTCTCTTGAGACCAACTCTAAGTTGGTCAAAGACTGTATGGATAATCTGAATGTCCTGGGCACATCCAACAGAGTTACCCTCAGATGGGTCCCGGGTCACTCAGGCATAGATGGGAATGAAAAGGCTGATGCATTGGCAAGAAGGGGCGCTGAAACCCCAGATCCATTCTGTGGCATTGCAAAACAACATGCCTATTCAATTCTCAAAATTCACTGCAATCGCCAAGCACTTCAAGAGTGGCAATCCACTTCTGGACAAATACACTCTAAAGCGCTAATTAAGGGATATCGCAAAAAGTTTACAAAAGAGTTGCTTCAACTCAACAAGTATAAAACCAGTGCAGTAACCAGAATACTTACTGGTCACTGCAAACTCAATAAACATATGTTTACCCTCGGCCTCAGTCAGACCGCAATGTGCAGACTATGCCATGAGACAGAGGAAACTGCTATGCATATCCTCTGCTCGTGCGGTCCACTCATGCACCGCAGAAGTATCTATCTAGGGCAGCATATTATGCAACCGGAAGAGATACAGATGCTCCCCGCTCAGAAAATCTGGAAGTTCCTGGAGTCAACAGGACTAAGCGGAGAACTTTGAACTCACTATAAAGGGAGCTACAATGGACCAAAACTGGTCGACGTAGCTAGGGCCGACCTCGGCACCACACCCAACATTAATAATAATAATAATCCATGTATCGAAACTAAACATATCTAATTCTTTACTACATTGAATGGGGCTAGAAATAAGAAAATTATGGACCTGAGTTAATACAGGCTTTTTCTTTTTAGTCCAGTACGGTTTGTGGTTCAGAGTTTCGAGTTCATGAATTAATTCAATTATTTCATTATTTTCAAATGACTGCACTTTAGCCAAAATTTTGCTCCTAAAAAATATCTACGAAAGGCCAATGGCTCAAGGTGGAGTTCCGATTCCATTACATGTATAGCTGTACTCTTTACAAAACCCCCAATAATTCGCATACAACAGTTTTGAATTATATCTATTTTCCTTAAATGTGTATTTGCACTATTACCATATAAAAAGCATGCATAGTCCAGCTTACTACGAATAAGTGAAAGATAAAGCCGTCTCAAATGGGTTGGATGAATTCCCCATTGTGAACCTGCCAATACTTTAAAAACATTAACACATTTTAAACATTTATTTTTAAGCTCATTTAAGTGCTTTGACCATCTCATAGATCGATCTAACCACAAGCCTAGATATTTATATGTGTCGACTACGGGTAGTGATACTCCATCAATTTTTAAGTCAATATTATCTCGTTTACTGCCGGATTTAAAAAAAACTACTTTACTTTTAGCACTTGAAATATTTAAACCTATATCGTTTAAAAGTTTGGATACTAAATTTAATGCAGCTTGTAATATTTCAGTATCTCGCTGTGCATTATCACAGATTGAGTATAAGACGAAGTCATCAGCGTACTGCGAGATAAATACACTGGTTACGAGTTTACATATATGAAGTAACCATATTAAATAGCAATGGTGAAAGAGGATCCCCTTGAGCTAACCCTCGGCCTGAGCTTCTACAAATATTATGATTCTCGATTTGAATTTTTAAATATCTTTCTCTAAGAAAATTTTCTAAGTACGAGCAAATTTTAGAACCTACTCCTAAATTATCCATAATATGTAATAGACTGTTAACATCAACATTATTATAGGCGTTGTCAATATCAATAAAGCAACATAATGCACTGCGCCTGTTTGAAAGACCCGATTGTATTCTAGAAACGAGTGTGGTAAGATTGTGTAGTGTAGAATGACATTTTCGAAATCCCGTAACACTTTTGGATAACACATGATTTCTTTCAATAAACCATTCTAATCTATTGAGTAAAATGCTATGAAAGACTTTACATAAACATGACATCATGGAAATCGGTCTAAAGGACGCAATGTCTTGTGGATCACGCCCCTGTTTTGGGATTGGTAATATAATAATATCTCGCCATTGTCGAGGTACAAAAGAGTTTGTTAGAAATTTATTATAAATTTCTGTTAATACTAGTTTACCATTATGAGGCAAATGTTTTATCATTGAGTAAGATATGTTATCAGATCCTGGAGATGTATCCTTAGTTTTAATGCATTTTTCAACCTCTAAAAGCGTAATAAGTGTCTCTAACTTCGTATTTGTTGATGTAAAAAATTGTTTATTAGGAACTGTAAAATCAGGTGTTAAGTTTCGTAATAGTTCATTAGCTTTCCCTTCGTCAATATATTTTCTTGGACGTTTGTAGCCTTTTACCCATTGCATCTTTTTCCATACTTCACCCAGCGACAGAGACTCGTCGACAGATGAGCACATGTTCTGCCACGAGTGTGAACGAGCATTACGCATCCTAAGTTGTGATAGACGTATCTTATCCTGTAGGTCGGTTAGATTATCAGGTATGGGGTTACGTCGGAATTTTGCGAGTGCTAAACGTCGTTCTGCTACAGACTTGGAAAGGTTTTGATTCCAGTAAGGCCTCGGTGTAAACTTACTACATGGGTTATTGCATGTTATAATGTAGGGAATATAGATATCGGCTGCCAGATACATGATTTCTACAAAACTATCGTATAGGTGTTGCAAATCATTAGACACATTAAACTCTAAAAATAATCTTTCTAGTAGTTCTGTATAAGATTTCCAATCTGCTTTTTTAAAATTTCTTTGAGCTGTATTTTCTAAATTCGAAATAAAATATGTAGAAATTTTAATTATGCAGTGATCACTGCCTAGAGTTTCATTTAAAACTTTCCAGTCAAATTTAAGAGCTATATCCAAGGATACCAATGAAATATCTGGAGAGGACTGTCGACACGTACTATTTACAGCTTGACATGTGTCAGCAGACGGAGGACAATAAAGAGAGATTATATTTTCAATGTCACTGCAATTGTATAGTTTAACAACCAAAATTTCAATACCTGAATTACGATGCTGAAATTCGAATATTTGAGATTTTATTGATTTGTGCGTTAACACAGCAACCCCTCCATATGAATCTGACCTGTCTTTTCTGTAAATATTAAAATCTGTTATTCTTAAATCACTATTAGGTTCTAGCCATGTTTCACATAGAACTGCAATGTGGATTTTTTCTTGAAGCAAGATATTTTCTAACGCAATTAATTTAGACCTTAAACTCTGACAATTCCATTGAATTATATTAAGTTTGACAATTTTTTTTTATACTTATCCATAATCATTGACATTTAAATACTCGATAAAAGCTCTGAGAATTGGCCAATCTTCTAAATTATCCACTACTGACAATAATAACCACTCAATACAACATTTCTAACATCTATATTCACACTAATAATCTTCGCTTTTATCGTGACCCTCATAAATATTATTTCTTTCACTCTTCTTAACAATTCAACCACATCAAAGTCTCTCTTGTCTTCATTTGGTAAAGCTTGTTTCTCTTCAAAATTTGCATGATTACTTTCTTCGGTAAATTGTGTATCTCTATGATCCGTGCATTTACGTGATCTCGTTGTATAATTACTACTCTTGGCCTGTTTTTTTTTACCTGTGTTTTTATTTTTAGTGACATCAGAAAAGGAAACAGCGTTTCGAGATTCATATGAGACGTCACACGTATTCATCGACGTCGCATTCAAGGCGGGAAATTCCTCGTCAACAATCCTTTCCTCCAGTTCTCTGTTCTTTTCTTGGATTGGTTCATCCGGCTGTACATACATTTCAAGAGCTTTACGATACGTACAATTAAATTCAGCCATTAAATCCCTTAGCTTTTTTTCTTTTAAGTAAACAGGGCACATTTTTCTAGATAAAGCCATATGGTTTCCTGAACAATTAATACACTTGAATTCTACCGTCTCACAATTCGCGTGATTTTTGCCGCATTTAGGGCACACAATTTTTAAAGAAGGACATTTTTTGATTCTATGACCATACTTCCAACAACGGGAACATTGCGAAACGGGAAATACATATCTCTCTACTTTTATCCTCATATCGTCAACATTCACATATGCGGGAAGAAAAGATCCTTTAAAACACAGTCGCACTGTTTCACATGGTATCCAACCGTATTCATTCAAATTTCGTCGATTGAGACGGGACACAGCAATTAATTGAGCAGTGTGAGGACAAGTAATTTTATTCAAAATTTCATCATCAGTTATTTCTAGGTCAATATCCTTTATAATCCCATATGAATAACTTTTTTCTAAAGCTTTTTGTATTCGCCAATTCATATCTATAAATTTCTGACATTTTTCTAATTTCTCCGCACTTACTTCACTCGTCAAATCTACTCTAACTTTATAGGGGTTTAGGTATTTAACTCTTATTATATTCGTAATATCCTGTTCTTTAAACAACTTAGCTAAGGCAAATTGTTTTGGTAATTTCTCATTGCCTGATATATAAATTTCCACTTTTTCGCTGTCCTTTAATCTTTTATCTCTTTGCCCAACAGTGGTCCATTCTCCTTCACTATCCTCTCTCATTCTCTTACTCATCCTATCATTTCCCTGCAGTTGTTCCAAACCCGTCATATCGGTATCACTTATTAATGATTCAACGCTTGACATTATTATTACGCAGTGATAAAGATAATAATTGTTGTTGTAATAGATGTAGGTAATTAACGCGCCACGCAGGTAGGCAGGCGGTCGAGGAGTGAGCCTCGACCGCCGGTAAAACGTAAACAAGTAATTAGTATAAACGACACGACTTTCTCGTACGAGTGCCGCGACGAGACTAAAAATAAAACGAGTATAAAAAGAACCATACACGAAAGACGGGTGAATAGTTTTTTTTCTTCAACCGACTTCCTCAAAAAGGAGGAGGTTCTCAATTCGGCTGTATGTTTTTTTTTATGTTTGTTACCTCAGAACTCCGTCATTTATAAACCGATTTGAACAATTTTTGTTTTGTTTGAAAGTGTATACTTCCAGATTGGTTCCATTTAAATTTAAAAAAAAATACCACCCGATATGCCGATATGCCGATACAAAGCAAAGCACACCGACTTCGAATATATTTAATAAGGTATGTATAGTAAATGAAAACTACCAATCAGTTATTTTTTACTTTTTAGTGCTTTTGTTTGAAGTCGGTTTTTACTTTTTTGTTAAAAAGTTTTTACTTTTTTTATTATTACCTGGAAACTGGAAAGAGACGCTCTATATTTAGGTATTATTTCTGTTTTTATAAATACTATTATCTACATTAGAAATGATGATTTTTTATTAACTATTATTCAAAAGAAGTAATTAAATAAATTACTTTTGAACTTTAGTTTAGTAATATGTAATTATGAACCACCTATTAAAGAGAACTTGCAACCAGTCAAATTAGTATTGTATACTAATTTACTGCAAAATATACTGCAAAGTGGCAATGACACTTCGCTCCGCGATAAATAGGCTGTTTGTCTTGCTTCTTGGCAATTTAAAAACTAGTGTACATTTTCTTCGTACTCTCGTATTATAATTATATTTATCTCTTATTATAATTATTCGTCATTAACGCTGCAAATTGCTGCTTAATAGTTAATTTTGCGACCAAAACTGTAGTAAAATCTTATTAGTTATTCCACACAAAAGCTTCTTTTAAAACACATTTACATCAAACTGGTAGTTTACTTTCGCAATATGTCCTATTAACTGTTAACTGAAAACCGTGAAATGGCATAGGACTTTATAATATTTAGTGTTGTCTGAATGTAGGTGCAAAACTTTTAAACGCTCGACACGCATACATGCACTGACTTGCACGCCTGCCTATATTCAGGTTATGACAGAGTAGTTTGATATCTATAGGTACATATAATAAAATTGTAACTAAGTCGAATCTGTACATTAAATATTTTTTGGAAAATCTTATTGAAATAGACATTTTTATCGATACAGAGGCCGAATCTATAGTTTTTAGAATTTTGGTCTGTCTGTCTGTCTGTTACCGCATCATGGTAAAATTACTGGAGGGTTTTTGATGAAATTTGGTGTGATGTTAACTGGTTATCCGAGTCAACATATAGGTTACTTTTTACTGCGGGAAAATATCTCATCTCTGAGAAATCTATATTAAACGTTAAAACGTAATTTGGAGCGAACCTGAGCAAAACGAGGGTGAGTCGCTAGTATATTAATATAAACGCACCAGCTAGATTCAGAGTCCAAACTACAGTAGAGCTACAGTTCTACGACTTAACAAAAGAAATAAGAGTTATCAAGGCATCAACCACTTAAGTGGTTAAGGGTAAGAATGATTAATCATACTCAAACAAAGTGACGTCTTGACAAAGTTTATAACACTATTTATTTACCTATATTTAAACAAGTAAATACTCGTATCTATGCAGTTGTGACGCCGAGAACTTACCTATGCTAAGAATAATGCAGTGTTTTACTTTATTTTTAAACACCTATCTTGAAAAGATAGTAGGTATATTGTCCCACCGGAGTATGAGAGTGACAGGAATAGAGTGCACTTGTGTCCGCGCGTACACTTGTGCACTATAATATCTCCTGCGCAGTTGGCTAGTCTCAATGATATGGGCCGCCGTGGCCGGAATCGGTCAGGAGAACATAATATCTATTTCTTTGTAATCTATAGCTTAGCTAATGTTTGCGTATTAGCTAAGGTAGCACCATGATTTTAAGCTATTGCATAGCTTCTATCGCGGGCCTTGAGCGTGGGGACCGAATCCAGAAATTCCGTAACGAAAAAAACCTGACACCCCCTTACTCCGACCGGCACAGCGGTGATACTTTTGAGTTTTTCCATCTATCGATAAATACCAGAACTTTTAATGACTTTTTGAAATATCACGCTTGTCTCTTTAGTTCAGCAACCCGCCTTTAGGTGGCATTGGTTGTATTGGAAAACTACCGTAATCAGCTGTTTGTGAGAAAGTACATATATATGTATAGGTATTTATCATCTATGTACAACAGTGAATATCTGTACTCGTATAATTTGTGTACAAAGTGTTTTAAATATGAATAAACAAAGTGCATTTATTAATGAAGAAAGTCAAGGAAAAAAATACTGTATTAATAAAATAAATAAATAATTATAATTGCATAAGTTGATAAAAAATGCTATGCAATAGCTTTACCGTGGCAGTCTCCGAGTGCCACATTTAATTTTTTAAAACAAAGTTGTTATAAAAATAATAAAGTAAATTTTTGTTCCACCCGCAAGTAAGGAATTATTTGTTGAAATTTATATGATGCCGCCTCTGATGTTCAAAGCATATCTATTCTAAATTATTGAAAAAAAATTGAACTGAGTTCAAATAAAATATAAAAAAATAAAAAATAACTTAGGGGATTTTAATTTACTATAGATACTTAATCAGATATTTTCGAAATAGTTTTTGTAATAAGTAGTAATTACAAAAAAATGTAAGCAATTAAAATACTTACATACATGCATGCATGCAAGCACGCACGCACGCACGCACGCGCACACGCGCACACACCTATAAATTTTTGTATATTTGTTTAGAAGCCCAAACAGATTATCATATGTGAATATTTTGCAGTTCCAATAATATTACATACATAATATATGTCGAATTGATATCCTCCTTTTTTGAAGTCGGTTAAAAATACATACAGACTGTTCTAACAGTTTTTTTGAATATATTAATTTTGAAATAATCACATACCTACCTACCTTTTTTTTCAATTATGAAAATAGTTATTTTTATTAAACACAACAACATTTCTTATTAAAAGCACAAGATTTTGCAGATACTATTGTTTTTCATATATATATATATATACATATAATTGAAATTAAATAATGTTTATCTTCACATTTTCATCTTCATTTATTTATTTATTCAAATAGCGTTTTAAAAATGCACTTTTTTAAATATTTTAATTTTTTACGCAAAAGGTGTTATTACTTATTTTTATTCAGTAAAATTATATTATACACTATAAATTATTATTTTATTTTGTTTAAGAATATTTGTTTAATTTTACAGGATTTTTTTAAAGAAAAACATACCTTATTGATATCCATTTCAAAAATACACAATCACATCGTCTTACAAATTACACTAAATGGTATTGCATTTTTCAATTACCACAAATAGTTTTTAGTGATTATAATGAAAGAGCACACAGTACGAAGTTATCAACAAGAGTACTCGTAAATGTAAACGAAAAATACAATCATAATGTAAACTCAAATAAAAGGCTTTCAGTTCATTTGCGTACTTACCGCGTTATCTTTTTATAATAGTAGTGGGTAAAGTCTGGCATCATCTAAATTTGGACCGAGCTAAAATGGCCTAACCCACACTTTCATACTGATACATTGTACTAGCAACTCACCCTCGCTCCGCTCGGGTTCTCAAAAATGAGATATTCTCCCGCGGTTAAAAGTGTCTTTTATGATGTCCCGGATAACCAGCTATCACCATACCAAATTTCATAAAAATCCCTCCAGTAGTTTTTTTGTGATGCGATAACAGACAGACAGACAAAAATTCTAAACACTATAGATTCGGTCTCTGTATCGATAATAATATCTATTTCAATAAGATTTTCCAAAAAATATTTAATGTACAGATTCTGCTAAGTTACAATTTTATTATATGTATAGATTATATGATCTGTGCTAATATTGTAAATGCAAAGATCTTTTTTGGCATACCTTTCTTCCAGACCAGAGATACCAGAGAGGCGTGATGTTTTACATGAAAAAAATTGGTTAGCTCGAGAGTAACGGGATCACGAAGATGGGTCACTCTTTTTAACATATAATTATTTACACATTATCTTTCACATGTGTTAGTAGAAAACGTTTTAAATGCAATCAACATTCTAATTTTTTTACAAAATATAATCTCTTGTATTATTATATACATTCAATTTTTGAAAATTGAGGTTAGACCACTTTTGATCTGACAGCCTTTTAATTATCTACATTTACTTATCGCCTGCAACTATGTTTGATTCATATAATTTATTTTTAGAACGACCTATAAACAACAAAAATACTTATTTTTCTTTCGAGTCACAAGAATATTTCTTTCCAACTGCTAAAATTGATAATATATGGTATTCTAAGAGTTCATCTAGTAGAGAGTGAATATTCTGCATAGTGGATACACAGGTCGTGCTTATTCAACAGATATAATATCTAAGATGTAGAATATTATGTATTAGAATATAATATATGCAAAATAGAATTGCTGCTCGGTTTTTTGATTGTACAATGCATTTTTATATTACACCTATAATTGATACTCTATACTTATGTCTTAAGTATTTATTTATTTTTTGATAATGAAGTGGTGCTGCTGCTATGATATAATGGTAGCTTAAATGTCATTCTTATTTCAAAAAAAAAAAGTTATCTTTAACAAGTCAATTAAAAATAAATTGACATTTAATTATATCAAAATTTATATACATACTAGCAGGACCCGCGGCTTCGCCTGCGTTCAATCTAAAATAAACTCTTTAGCTTTATGATTTTTATTTATATAATATTAAATTATTTGGATATTGCTCATACAAAAATACTAAAATCGCGTTTAAAAAATCGGGGGTGGGGGTAGGGGGGCGAAAAATACTTTACGATCTTTATGTCCTCGCGATTCTCGTGCTTATATATTAGATTACATATCAATTAGCCTTCATTTAATGTGAGAGGGATCAGGTCATAATCCACCACAGCAAGTGTGGATAGGCGGACTTCACATATCTTTCGAAAATTTGCTAGGTACTCTCAGACATGCAGGTTTCCTCACGATGTTTTCAATCAATGATCATAAATCGACAATCATGTTGAAAATAATTTTCATATGAGCATATCAGATGTGCGGTACTCGGGATTTGAACCCGCTTCATTTGGTTTCCCAAGTGAGCGCGTTACCACTGGGCTTCCATTACATATCTTAAAATTCCTTTGTGCCAGTTCAGTGCCATGGACACTGGATTATTGGTCAATTCGCAATACAAGGTCGTTAACATTTATTACGTGAAATTATTTAATATATTGTTATTTATTGTTACTTTTGAAATGTCTAATGGTATTATCATTTGTATTTAACTTAAGAGTTATTTAGAAGTAATTTTTTAAAATGTGAATTAAAACCCAATTAGTTGCGTCAATCAATAATGATTAGAGACTTAATGATTGAAGAGATTTCTAGAAAAATATTATGACATAAGATCAATTTAAAAAGACATTGTTTTCTTTAGAAAAAATGCTAAAAAGGTACAAATGAGTATAAAATTAAAAAAAGTACATGATATAAACTAATTTTTCTTCTTTTTTAATCGGGCGAAACAAAACGGTATATAAAACCTCATTTAGTGTTTCGCCACACAAATACATTAGGGTCTGCCTGACGGTAAACAATGATCTTCACCTATGCAGCAATAGGGACATCGCTTGCACCTTGTTATGTATAAAAACTTAAAAAATGAAATAAAAACGGACTTCCAGGCACTAAAATGTAAAAAATAACTAAACGGAGGTTTTCATTTAGAATAGCTACCAGAGAAGTCGGTGCCAGCCGATGCAAAGCAAATCTAATACATTTCAATACGTAAGATACATTAGATATTCATATCTTAAAATATTGTCGGCTAAGGTAATTTGTAAGAAGAAAGTTTTTTAATAACATATTCGATTAAACAATTTATTTAAAAATATATTTATTGTTGATTTTTTTTTAAATCGCTCGACCGATTTCGATAAAATTTATATGGGTCGACCTGGGAAGTATACCCTTTGAAACAAAAGAAAATTCAAATCGGTTCAGGCGTCTTCGAGTAATCGGTGAACATACAAAAAAAAAATAGATTCCGACGAATTGAGAACCTCCTCCTTTTTTTCGGGAAGTCGGTTAAAAACCACTATATAAAAAAATAGATATACGTGAAAGGGGAATGAGCTACCTTTTAACCGTTGACAGGCTGTTATAATATAATATAAGTTCTCGATGTTATAATATAAGCATAGAAAGCACAAGGAACGAGCCTCCTGACAAAATACTCGTAGCATTTATAAAATATTTTTTTAGCAATTTAAATAATTCTTACAGACTGAATACCTTACGATAACAATTTATTTCGACTTTAAACCTTATTAGGTTTAAGGCCGAATAATCACTCAGATAAGCTTTAGCAAAGTTTCAGTCAAGATGGTGCTAGTGGCCTTTTTTGTCCAAGATTTAATCTTTATTTATCCTTAGGTTTTAAGAGCAAAATTGTATTTATTTTGTTCGGATAAAATGATAGTCATTAAATTCATTTAACATCTTTATCGGTCGTGCTTATTTTTATTTGTCTTGCATTGATTGGTATTAGATGGAATGCAATTTTTTTTTATTTTTACTGACGTCGTAATAGAAGCAAATAAAAATATGTTATTACGCGCCACTAGCTTAGTCGAAGACATCAAGCGCTTCTAGCAATAGCAATCTTTCAACTTCCTAACTATGTTTAACAAACGTTTAACAATTCAAAGTTGAACACTTTTAACGTTCAATTTCAAACACTAAAAGCCCCGTCCGTTATCGTGGATTTGAAAAAAATCTATAAACATCGAAAATTTAAAGTGAGATCAATAAGCTTGGTCAGCGTGGATTTTAATAGCCGAAAATGTTTAAAGTAAAATAGCTATGCTGCCGTCATAAAAAAGAAGGCCGCAACAAAGTTGATTTCGAGATATCTGAATGGTATGGTATCTCCGGATTCATAAGAATTAGGGCTTTACGAGTAAGACTTTTAGGTACCATTTTTTTTTGCTGATTCCGAATCTGCCTAAAAGTCATTATTGACCAAATGTTAGTTAGGGTCCTCTTTATTATGTCGGCAGTATGCCTGTATGGTGATTTATGATATATTTTGACCATGATTTGATGCAAGAGACCTATATTCAGTCATGCTATAATTAGAAGATACTATACGAATTGTTTTTATCTGAAGGTTCAAATATAAGCCCCAACCATTATCTTCTGCCCTATTAATCCCAAACCCAATTCAATTCAATTCTCTTCTTAATAACTTGGGAATACAATTAAATCAAAGAACATTATAATGTCAAAACATTTAATTACTTTAATATAACTTCACGCGCTCTCATACGGTAATACTTATTACATTAAAATAACTCGAATATTATACACTACTGTCTATAATGTTATATAATATGACTCCAGCCGAAAATGGCACTTGACACTTTCAAAATAAAGTTTACAGTTCAACTTAAACTATCCACATAGTAAGAAATTCGATTAAGAGGCATTTCGATACATCATACGGCTTAAAAAATCGAGTGAGAGTATATTTTTTTAACATAAAATAATATTTTTTCAATAATAATAACGCACCAATATCTTATAATTAAGAATAATTATTATATTATATATTAGTATATTTAAATATCGATTTTAAAGCAGAAACATTGTTCAATTACGACTCTATTCAGTCATGATAACTATGACGAATATTTCATTAAGGCCACAACATCGAACACGTATTTGTACCAAAACCTTAGTCAATTACAAATATAATATTTAAACACAATAAATGAATATGCTAATTATTATTATATTAAAAATGGAAACGTTTTGTTAACAAATAGATATTAAAGCTATAAAACAGTAAAAAATTGAATTGTTGAAATTAAATAAAGATTCATAGATTATCATGTTGCTCTTCAAACGGCAATCGTATGCAATCTGATATACATAATATATGACATGTAACTGTATAACATAACAAAACAACGATAACATAGTTCGATCGGAACATAACCGTTAAATGTACCTTGCAAAATCACGAAAAAAAAATTAAAACGAAGAACTATAGGACTCCCAACTCATCCCAAGAAATAAATTACTTTTGGTTTTACACAGGCCACAGAAACCAATACGTTTTCCAACCCTTCGCCTTTCATCAGAATAACCTCAAAACTAAATACAACCAAATTTTATTTCTAGTATGTGCTCTAAAGAGTAAAAATATCCATATATCGAATAGAATAGATAAGTAATAAAAAACAGTAATTTTGCAGGGCATTTCAAGTTACATTGTGGTCGGTCAGCAGGCGCACGACTTGCTAGTGCTCGGGTCGCGATTATTCTCCCCGTTAGCGATCTTGTGGTCGAGAGCGAACTTCTCGCCGTCTTTATCGTTGCTTTGAAGTAGTTTGTCGTTTAGAAGAATCTGGAAGGACAGAGAAGAATTTATATATTATTAAATATTTATAATATTTGAGGCTAAAGACGTTTATTTCCTGAAAAGGGCAGTTTTTAGTCAGTTATTTAGACAAATTTGAAGATTTAATGTGTTTAGATATCAGTTTTACTAATGTTTTTAAATAGTACTTTAGGAGGAATACAGCGTTTTATAGTTGAGAAAAGGTTCTTAGATTAATTTCTGATCCGATTAAAATTCTAAGTTATTTTTCTATAAAAAAGATAATTTATCTAGTTCCGGTTAAATCATCAGAACATTTGGAAAATATTTTCATGAAACAGATTGGAAAATTACTGTGCTCATTCTTCTGGACCCTAAAATATATTTCTTCATAATTAAAAGTATAAATGACACAATTATTACGCAACTTTTTAATAGACCGGTGCATCATCAACATAAGTAGCTAGATAGTAACAAATTAACATAATTGGTTTAATGACGCCATTAATTTTCCAGCGACACAACAAAAACCGCATTCCTTATACGAACACGAAAATATACGAACTTAATAAAAATCATATCGTACACAAATCTATATAAACAAAAATAAATGTTCCAATGCTTGTCCTACTATCGATCCGATTGTGATAAAACTCTAGTGGGTTATCATGTATACGCCTGCAAAGGTTCCTGGCGTCAAAAAAATTTTTTCTTTGGACGTTTGTCTTTTATACGTTCCTAAACCATTCAAACTTAGGGATTCACCCAAGCGAAGCAAGGATATGTTGCTAGTATCTTATATAGACAATAATTAAAAGTTTATACAATTAATTTTTAAAAAAATTAACGGATTTATATTCAGAATTACGTAATCTTTGATTCTTAAGTCATCATACTTATAAAAACCTTGTTAGCTTGCCTTGCATTAATTATTTTATATATATAAGAATATTCCCATAACATAATTTTACCGTCTCTTTTAGGTATACATACATATTAACATATTTAATTTTAATTGAAACACCAAAACATAATTAATATGAATCTTTTGAAATAAATTATCTCTAGTATAGCTCAGCGGTTTCCAAATGGTAGTGCACAAGGGTCACGGGGGTTCCGAGTTCCGTCCGAGAATTAAATAAAACGTTGTCAGACACGATTCATGAATCCTAATTTTACTGCTATTTATACCTGTCATATCATAAAATTCTAAGCTGAATCTGTACATTAAATATTTTTTTTGAAAATCTTATTGAAATAGATATTATTATATCGATACAGAGGCTGAATCTATAGTTTTTAGAATTTTTGTCTGTCTGTGACTGCATCACCGAAAAACCACTGAAGGGACTTTGATGAAATTTGGTATGGTAATAGCTGGTTGTCCGGGTCAATATATAGGATACTTTTTACTTCGGGAAAATATCTCATCTCTGAGAAATATGTGACAAAAAAAAATTGGGAATCGCTGGTATAGATCACTACTGTAATTAATAGAAGTCCTTGCCAAGTAAATAAAACTATTTAATAAATATTAATAAATAACAAAAAACACCTTGAACATAAAAAAATAATAAATATACTTAAATGGCGTCATCCTACCTACATTCTGCCGTAAAAACAAGCGATATCACTTACTAGTGACACTTCCCCATAAATTAAGGTAATAAGTTTTTTATTACACTAGAATAGGTTATAGATAAGAACTAAGTTCTTTAAACACAAAATTTTTATTCAAATATATGAAATTAGCGCTTCGCTCGGGTTCGTCTTTACGTAAGTTTTACCGGTTAGTATGGAATATAGACTATATTTATTATTATATTACTGTTCCGCTACCTTGGGTGGTAGCACGATGATAAAACAAACAAACAAACTCGCTATTAATTTTATTATTCATTAATTTAAAATTCAAATTAAAAATAGTGATTTTAAAGAGACACATCCATATTTCTAACCATGATGGAAATATTTTCACATTAAATGACAGAAAGTCAGGATAAAAACTTATACGTAAGCTTAAATCGTAACAAAAACTTTATAAAGCTTTATATTAAAGCTTCTCAGTATTTTACCCAATTATAAACGTGGCCAAAGCGACCCTATGTGGAAGTTCTGGACGCTTCGAAACCGGTTTTTTTTTCATAGTAAAAAACAAACATGTAGGTTAAGTTACGCTTATCACAAAGACGTATCTGATTAATTTATACTGTTATTTTAGTGGCATTAAATATTTTTCCAGTTAAGTATTGTTTATTTATGGTATTTTCTTTCTTTGCGCCTTTTTTGTGTGTACTATGTATGTACCTATCCTATGCTATAAATATCTTATTAATATTATAAATGTGAAATTTCAGATGGATACTTAGACGCTCTTTACGCACACGTGGTGCAATCACGCCAAAATGGTTGAACGGAACTAATTAAATTTTAACATAGAGATAGATATAGGAATAGCACATAGGCTACTTTTTCTCCTGGAAAAATGTACGGTTTCCGTGGGATAGATTTGTTTTTGTTTTTCACAGAGCAAGAGACCGACTATCTATTCTATACTAACCGTTAAAAGGTACATACCTAGGGAAGAACCCGCGCAAAACGAGGGTGATTCGCTAGTCCATACTAATATTATGTGAAAGTGGGTTTGTTTTTTGTTTGTTTGTCCTTCCTTCACGTTGAGACGGAGTAGCGGATTGGCGTGAATTTTTGTGTGAAGATAATTTGAAGGGTTGTTGAGTGACATAGGCTACCTTTTACCGCCGGAAATTATCTCATTCCCACGGAAAACACATTATATAGGTAATATATAGTCTATCCGTTCCATACTAACCGTTGAAATGTTACCCAGGGACGAACCCGAGCGAAGTGATGGTGAGCCGCTTGTATTATATAAAGCTCTTCATTTTGTGTTTAATATTTTATGTTTCAATGCATTTATCTCTAAAACTAAAAATTTGATTTAAATAAATCTTATTGGATTTTATAGCCTAAATATTAAAGGCCATAAGCTATCTAACGTAAGACTACAACTCTTAAACTCTACGTAACAGGGTAATTATGCAAAAATTAAATTATAATTTCATAATGAATCAAAAAAGGTAAAACTTTATTTTTGAACTTTTCGGATTTTTGGATACCATCTTAATTATTAGTCTTATTATGAAGTGAACGTTGGCAGTGGAAGAAGCGATAAAGATATGTAGAGAACGTAGCGCTTAACTATAACTATCACGTTTGTTTTCATCAGACTAAGGCGAAATTTTCTATCACCGACATTGCCCCTTCAAAAAATCGAACCTGTACTCTTCGCCGTAGTGATGAAAGAATAAAATACCCTATACACTTTACTATCCACGCACCATGAGGATCATCTACAGTATTTTAATGGGAATTTAATTACATGACATCCATTTGCTCTTATAGAGCCTTAATGGAAAACGTCATTCAGACTAACTATGTCGCAAGCATAATATATTATTAATAATAATTGACACGCTCTTCGTATAATTCTCATATCATATAAAATAAATAATTCTTAGGCAATACTTGTATACTTTTTATATAGATATAACATGCAAATGACGTATGGATATGGTGATGGCCACGGATAGAGATAAAAAATGATTATGTGTAGACAGACATAACTATTTTTATTTATTTATTCTACTGCTTTTTCATCGATACATATAATAAAATTGTAACTAAGCCGAATCTGTACATTAAATATTTTTTGGAAAATCTTATTGAAATAGACATTATTATCGACACAGAGGCCGAATCTATAGTTTTTAGAAATTTTGTCTGTCTGTCTATCTGTCTGTCTGTTACCGCATCACAGAAAAACCACTGGAGGGATTTTGACGAAATTTGGTATGGTGATAGCAGGTTATCCGGGTCAACATATAGGATACTTTTTACCGCAGTAAAATATCTCATTTCTGAGAAAAAATACAAAAACTGTAATGTAAGAGTATACTAATATGTAAAACCTAAGAATTTGGTTTTTGGTCATGAACCCGGGCGGAGCCGCGGGCAATGCTAATACTTAAATAAAAATCAGCCAAGTGTGTGTTAGACTCTCAGGCTAATAGTTCCGTACAACTCAACATAGTAATGCCATGTAAATACTAACAAAGGTTTCTATTACATTAGGTAATACTGGTAGAAACCTTGCGCAAGTTCAACTCAGCTTTTATCATTAAAATTGGTGGTAATAAAAAAAATATACGTAGGAATGTACAATTTTTTTTTTTTACTTTTTTATTGTTTCGTAGGGTCTGATTTATATCTTAGAATTATTCTTAGTAGTTTTAGTGCATAAATAATAATAAAAAAATACAGCTTGGGAAAAAAATATGGTTAAAAATGAAGTAAGAATTTTTAATGACATTGATTAATGTTATTCTATTGTCAACTTAGATAAGAACTATGTTCCTACACCCACAGATGTCTTCGCCCACAATATTCGTTAACAAAACAAAGCAGAACTTGTAGTATTAAAAACAAAACAATTAAAAAGGGCAAGATATTTATCATCAATTGACTATTCTTTAGTTTAATTAATTTAAACTTGCTACTGTTATTTTGGTAATTAACATAAATTTCTTGATTTTCTCGTAAACTAGTAGATCTATATTATATATATTCTCATAAGAACAAACTGCGTATGGTGGATTGTTTATTGATTTTAAATTAGGTACTTGTGTTCCATAAATAATAGTTATTGACAAAATTAATAATAAAGTGCCGCTTTAGCAAACAAAATCGATCCCTAAAACAGCATATTTTGTTCAACATAAAAACTATAATATTAAAATATCAGTCGATGACAAGTGTAAGTTGACCGTTATACCTAAGAATATGATATTGGCAAAATCAAATTCAATCAACGAAATCTATTTTATACATATAGAAAAATGTAACTACGCCGAATCTGTACTTAAATATCTTTTGGAAATTCTTATTGAAATAAACATTATTATCGATACAGAGGCCGAATCTGAACTTTTTAGAATTTTCGTCTGTCT